TTTTAGAGTCTTTTTTTTTTTGGGTCATAAGGCATTAGAGTTTTTAAAAAACATAAAGACAATAAATCATACTTGGTAAAAAATTATCTTTAGAAACTTTAATGTTTTTTAAAGTCTTGAAAGACTCCTACCAAGCAATCCCGAGAGTTAGTTCAATAAGAAACGTATCAAATATTTAAGGTTTGTGTATTTTAAAGAGTAACACTAATGTTCAAGTTAGCTTTTTTTTTTCTTTTTCTTTCTGAAACATTGATATGTTTAAGTTCGTTTTGTGTCGTAGATTTTTCCTTAACATAGTAAATGTTAGTTTGACTCAAGTAATTTGTGATCCTATATTCTAACCGTAACCGATCAACAAAGAAAGAAAAACAATTTAAAGAAAAGTAATATTTTCAAATTGTTCTGATGAAATAGAAACAGGGCAACAACAAGTATTCTTTCCGATTCCATAATGACGCCTGAACTCTTCATCATCTACGATTCCTTCAAGCTTAACACTTCTGATACCTTGGCTTCTTAAATCACAATAGAAAATGTAGAAACTTTCAAGGTCGCGTGGCATCAATTTGGAGCCAAAATGATCTCGCCGGTTTTGTTGATACCTATGTAGGAATATGAATCCCTCTCAATAGGATCCGACCAAGAAAGTGGAAATCTAATTTTTTTCATTGACCATTCATGTTCTCGACATTCTATAGTATCCATAATCTAAACCCATGGGAATCACCAAAATAAGTTGTGTAAATAACGGCTAACTTCCCATTGTAGCTGATCAAGTTTGTACCAAACTCCCAACTTTTGATGTTTAAAGGTGGATTCATCAAACTAATCTTCTCAAACCTAACATCAAAACGAACGAACCTTATCAAAATTTGGTCTTGTAGCACCGTAATACACAATCCCGTTGATGCAAATTCCTTTTGTCGAAGGAACATAAGGCCCGGTATTATTATTGTCTTCGATTTGTCGCCATGAAAGGTTTTTAATATCACCTCCTCCTAGTGTTAAAACCTTGTGCTGCACATCATCGTGATCACACCGAGAAACCAAAGCACATTGCTTTGTATTGATCATCAACCGGATCATATCCCAAGTATCTATAAGTGAACTTGTTTACATCATCTCCGCTTTCGGGTAAGATTACAATTTGTCTCGAGGTAGGATTACATATCACGAACCCACCTTGATATGAGCAACATATAAAGCCATGAGCTAAAGTACCTGAACTTCTTGTGTAGTAATAATCAACCGTGGAAGGTATTGTCATGTCGAGATTGGCTACCAAAGAAGAAGAAGAAGATTTGTTCTCTCCCTCTTCTGAAGCCGTGAAGAAGAACAAATGCATATCAGATTTTTTTAACGGTGAATTCACAGTTATTGAAAGCGATTAAGAGGCGAGAACCGCGATTCAAGGACCTAGAGTTGAACAAATCGATTAATCTTTGGTTTCGGACTATTAAAACCCAAAATTTGGATAGGTATTGGAGCTTCATAAGAGATGTCGCGGGCAATCTACTGAAAATCTCCACAGTTAGATCATCAGGGATCGAATCAAAGGGATCACTTGTGCCGTTACATTCTCGTTCCTTGCGTTTCATGGCGACCAAAGAGTTTGTTTTGTAATTGTTAATGTGTATGCTTCAAGTTCAAGTTATTTCACTCTTTTTCTTTATATACATACAAAGGAAAGATTAATACTACTCGAATTAGGAAAATAGTTAACTAGTATTTCAAAATCAATGTTGTTCACCAAGAAATTATACTTGAAGTACTTTAGAGTGATTTGGCAATCTTCTTGCGCTCATCTTTGAGATGCGACACTGTCTTCTCCAATGATAAAATTTTAGCAGCAGACTTGGTTTGCTCCTTGTTCAGTTCAACTTTGAGATTATTGATGTGTTCTACGAGTTCTTGGACTCGAAAACCATCAGCATTATCTTTCTTCCTCTCCAAGGAAACCTGATCAAGCTTTATCTTCAACCAGTCTAGCTCGAAGCCCGCTTCTGTTAGGTCGATCAAGTCGCTCTCAGCGTTGCTTAGCTCAGTCTCGGTGAGGCTATGTAGAGGCTTGTTCAATGTCTCGATTAGACCGAGTGAGATATTCATGTATGTTGTCTTCACCCATTGGTTCTTTGGTCTAATCTTCACTGCAAAGTCAGGGTGCTCCACGAAAATCCAACTCACTGAAGGCACCTAGAAACATGTATTTACGCATGTTAACCAG